CAGTTGATACCCATATCAGTGCACCCCTGAATTAGAGTGGCTTTTATTAACGCCCCCACCCTGCCAAACTTCCGGATCATGTGTATAAACACCCCAAGAGACTAAATTTGTAATTAAGCAATTTGTTTAGCTCTGGTAACTAATTCAGATAAAACGCATGGCACAAGATATGCCTTTCTAAGGCTAATTTTTTTTTCAGGTTATTTAAATGTTGGGGTTTTTTGAGGGGGATTAGGGGGTGTATCTTTAGAGCTTTCTAGATTGCAGGTAATGGTTCTTGCTGTACTTAACAGTTGTCATCTTGGGGCAAAACTGAGTGTTGCTTCTCTAAGGGTGTTTTTGAGGTTTTGGATAAAATAGTTCTAATTTGGATTGGATTTTTGATTCTCTGGAAGAACAGATTCATGTCTGAAAGGGACATGCCAAGATAGCTGAACTTAATTTTGGGAGGTTCTGTCTGCTTCTGCTCTGTGTGCTTTCAGGGAATATCAGCCTGCAACCTGTCCTTCAGGGCTAGTAAAAGAAATAGCAGCATTTGAAGACTTGCACCTCCTTTAGAAAAGCAAATCCCTAGTGTTGTTCAAAAAAGATATGTTAGTGATGTTACTGAATCAGAGATGTGGGTTTTCCAGAAAATTTTGAATCAGAAAATTTTCCAATGCTGTAAATACATCGTGATCTATTTAGCATGCTTATTTGACTTGTATTTAGTAAACAAAACTAAAAAAGTACTCTCATGTTAATTTTATATCCCAATAGCCACAAGTATTTGAACTGAAATATTTGATTAGGAAAAAAAATTAAATACATCACATTTAATGTGGTTTACATGTTATATTCAAACAAATTCAAAGCCTTATGTGGAAAGAAACTATTTTTATTGGAATACTTGTAAAAATGTAAAGACAATACACAATAGCATGTACTTCCCTTACATTGTTTGTTTTAAATTTAAGAAAAAAACCGAAGGCACTGAAAACTGTTGACACACTAATTTTAGCACACCCAAAGAACTGTGCATGATATCCTGAGGTTGTCCACTTATCTACTTCAATGGAGTTTAACTCTCTTTCACTGAAGTCGTTGCGGCACCTCCAGTTTCACTGTCGCTATCTGTAGAATCACTTGCATTACTTATTAGTTCCTTTTCAGAACCAGAATGAGGGAAACCTGATTCAGAACTACTTGAACCAGATTCTCTTTCGCTAAAGGATAGTTTTACCAATGAGTCTATGGGCAAGGGCAACTTATCACACTGCATCTTCTTCACTAATTGTGCTTCTGACTGATTCTCCACAAGCAAGAGATTTTGAGAAATAGAAACAAGCTTAGCTTCTTAGTTCATTTGTTAGTCTCTTCCTCTTTTTTGGCCTCAATTGAGTTGAAAGCCTTCTAGTTCTGTTCTCAAGAAGCTGCTTGTGGTGGAATGCTTAGGACTTTTAAAGCAATCCTGGACAACAGTTGGATGTTACAGTATCCTTTCCACTATGTGAGAGGAGACATAGTCTCTCCTGCCTGCCAAATAATGTCTTTGCTCCAAAGTTTGTCTTTTGCTTGGTACTTGGTAACGTCTTTCCTCACAGCTATTTTGTTGATTATTGGGGACACTCTTAGCTACTTCCATAATTATATCAAGAGCAGTAAATAATTCATCTTCTCATAAATGTTGTCCTCCATGTTGAGGATCCAAAAGGTTTGCTGCCAGATGAGCTAGATGAGAGCAAAACTCAGATCTCTTAGTAAACGTTGGTTTTCCTTTTTTTTCTTTTTTTTGGATTGAGATGAAGAAGGCAAAAGCTCAATTAGATTTTCATTCAGTTGTCTGAATGTCTCTGGAATATTTGAAAGGCTTAGTGCATCTCCTTCAAGTTTCTTGATAGCCACCGAAACCGGTAGTAGCAAATTGAATGCTCCTTGAACTCTAACCCAGAACACATCGTTGTCAACAAGCTGCTTCTGAATGTTCACGGGAATAATCTGGGATACCATCTTATCTATTGAAGCACATTGCAAGCAGTTCTTTGTGCACAGCAAACTATGTCAACACTTTGTAGCCGAGCCCCATCTAGGTTCTCCTGGCAATAAAAGAGCGCTTTCTTTCCCCTGCTTTTCTTTCTGTAATTTCTTCGAAGTCTGATTAGCAACATGATTGTTGAATACCATCACAATTGCTTTGCAGTTTGCCAATATTGTCTTCATTGTATTCATACTTACTATGTCCTTTGCTAGAAGATTCAACCCATGAGCAAGACAGCCAAATACTATTAAATGGCTTGTACTCTTTGTCTTTAATATTTGCCATGCAGCTATCATGTTACTCACATTATCAGTTACAAGGGCTTGTACCCTGGAGGTACCTGCACTTCCAGTCTCTTAGCTCAGTAATTTGGCTATGTATTTACCGGTATGATGAGAAGATTTGATAGCAATTGCTTTCAGGAATATTGGTTCAGGTGTTGCTAACATACTGTTCAGTAAAGGATTTCCTTGTATATCAGTCCATCCATCTGACATGAGTCAGTGGTTCTGCTTGACCAATCGTTTGAATAACCATTGTTTGAACTCTGTCATACTCTCTAAGAGAGAATGTGGTAAGCGATAATGTGATGGTAACTTATATGATGGGTGAATTAGTTTGCAATGTTCCTTCCAGTATTGATTTTCAGTTATGGAAAGAGGTGTACCACTTGCAAATATAGCTCTAGCTCATGTCTCACTTGCTTTTCCTTAATCTTCTTTTGATATTTTGTCCACATAGCTTGATAAAAAGCTTGACTGTCTTGAACAGCTACTCATGTTGTATCACATATCTGGTGACAGTGATCTTGCAAGTGAGGATCCTGCTGCTGCTTCCCCCAGACCTGGCAGCTCATCACTTTCATTTTCCATTTTTTGCAAATCTGCTATCTAACTTGAGCTACCAAGTTCCTGCAACAAAAAGGGGAAAAGATTTTTATTTTAGCCTCATCCATCAGAAGGAGTAATAGTAGGAGGGAACTTGCC